AAAAAAAAAAAATACGCATCAAAAAAGATGGCACTGTCACAGTACGCTCCAGGATCAACAGGTATATGCCGAAGTCGTGCCGGGCAGTTGCATTTTGAAGTGATTTTTGCGCCATCTGTTGGAATGAGGTGCTAGTGCTGGATGATAAGATTACACTGTAGCTTTGTAGGCCAGTGTGTTGTTGCGGAATGATAGCGCCATGCGCGACGTACGACAGCAACGCGATAATCGCGCTCCATCCACTGGGAAATATTCCCATCCAGTACTAGTCCTGCAAATAATTCATTATTGAAACCAGTTATCCCGTTAAACACCAGCAGCTGTTTGGATCGGTACGAACAGCTCCGGGTGTAGATCTATTCGAGTCGAATACAATATTTTCTTTGTTAATAAAAATGTTTTTTTTTTTACTTGGGGAGAGGGGTAGAGGGCAGGGGTACGAACTTTGTTGGTTTCCGCCACATTGTGACTTAAGGAAGAGCAACGACCGATAACAATCAGAAGGAAATTTTAAATACCATATATCTATAGTCAAACAATGCATGCTTCAGGAAACCCCATGAGCTACGGTCCACCTTCCAGACTGTTTGGCCAGGATGAAAGTCGGAATGCTAAGCTGCGTAAATTGTTGCTGGAGAGCCGCTGTGACAGTCTGCTCGTCAGCGGTGCATTTTGGTGATACTAGCGTGCATGCCGGTACTTAAATCACAGCGCAACACGGTGACCATCGACAGTCAGTGGTGAATACTGTTGATAAGGTTGAGGTAGCCCCGTTCCTTGAAAACATAATATATTTTTTAAGAAACTTGAGATTTAGTTATGAGGATCCTGAGATTTAGTTAAGGGTTAAATTTTTCAAACGTATCATTTAAATTTTTATCTAGCAATGACCAACTGCAAAAAGTGTAGTTGACAGAATTAAGTTAATCTGATTTCAGAACTTGAACTTCAGATATGCATTTCAGGACTTGAACTTCCCGCTTTATCAGGTCTTTACTTACCTTTCATTCGATACTCCCGATTTTACAACCGGGAAAACAGTTCCTAAAGCACAGTTTCTTCAAACTGCCTGTCTGTAGCTTCTGCGCGATGCTGGTGTCGATACCAGGGCATACCCAAATAATTCATGCTTTAGGCCCTTCCAAAATGAATATTCTAGTAGTACGGGCGAGCTACCGTTTGCACAGTTTATAAAGCAGAAAATCTCTCGGACGGAAAATTAGCAATTGAGGATGTTTGAGCAAAAAAAAACAAGTATAGCCTCCGGGACTGGAGACAATCCAAAATGCTTTGGATAATTTGAACAGAAGCAGTGCATCAAAAATATTCATTCAGAATGAAAACAGTTCAGCTCAGCGCTACTCATTGAGCAGCTGTACACTGATTATGAATACATATAAACTGCTAAAATTTAGAGCAAAAAAGTATTAGCATGAACACCTTTTCTGCAGACCAAACATACATGATGAAAATTGATGTCCAGAACAGGACTTGGAGAGGGCGATTCCAACACGCAAGTTTGCTAAAGTAAACGAATTTGCATGCAAAATTCTTTCATAGTGTCGGCATAAATTTAGAAAGCAACATGTATTTCCGATCAAAATCCTAATTATTTTTGCGAAGGTTTCGTGTTATTTCGAAAAGAAATGGAGATTGCCCTCTCTCGCCCTTATCACGCCGAACCTTGCAGTCTTGACAAAAAGATTGCTAGGATTTTTATTAAGAAAAAAATTTTTTTTTCTTGTCACTGCTAACACGAAATCTGCGCATCTACAGCAAAGAGTTTCTGATAATTCCCAGCTCTTCAAAGTCACATTTTTTTTTACTCAAGATCAATGGAATGATTAGTTTTTATGCGAGCGCATGAAGTTCTCCCACATCTGCATCGAGCAGCCCCGCGATTTCAGTTATCTTGCTCCTGGAAACTTGCGAATCCTTTTTGTGCTCATCTCTGCAGAATAAGTCGTCATAGATAAGTAAAATGGATATGGAAAAACAAAGAGAAGAAAATTTAGGACTCTGCAAAAGCAGAACGTACAACGTTGCAATACGGCGGGATCAGTGGCATATTTTGGCCCCATTAGCTTACGACCTAATAACGTGCGGTTTACATAATAAATGTTTTGTACTGCTGAGAGCAACACCGAGTCCGCTTGCTGAGGCACTTCCGTGACGAACGGTCTTAGTACACTGATACTTACATACGCGGACTGCCAAGAACAGTTGTGGCGCTACTTAAAATATCACTTATTTTTGGCAAATTTCGTTTTTAAATCTCTGTTTATCACTGCTGCTACTTAAACAATGGAAGACCGGCATGAAGTTATACAACTTTAGTGACACGCTACAGCAAATAGAAGTGCGCGAAAGCGCTAATACATATAGGAATACGTCAGTTCTTTTAACTTAACCTCGTTCACGAAAAATTCAATCTTTTAAGCGCATAGCTTCCTCTGTTCTGGAGTTATATAATATCGGCTTATGTTTGGATGTACGGTTATGGGACTGGAAGTAAGAAGAAGATTTAAAATCTGATTTCAAGTTGCCCGTGGTATCTTACTCATAAAACCTGAACTCTAGTATTTCATGACCGTCCTATTATAACACCATAAAATAGCCTGAGATCGATGCAAAAAGGATTTTAATGGCAAAGTTGTGCAAATTCTTATCGAATTTGCAAAGTTGTGTAAATTCTGAACAAACCTTTGGATAAATGATGTAAAGGGAATAAGATGTACAATGACCAATGTGTACCGATACAACATCTCATGCGCTGGTGGGGGGATATTACTTCGACTGTTGCAGTTGTGTTTTATCAGTGACGTAGAGTCGTAAATGGCCAGCACGCAATAGCTACTTAAAAAAAAAAGAAGCGAGCAGCATTGCATGTGCACATGCGATTGGTATTAAAGTGACAGTACCAAGCTCTTTCTTCACAGCAAGCCGCCAAATTAACAGGACCCTAGAATGCTGAACAATCAGTGCTGACAGCTGAAGCCCGTGGATGAGAAGCGAAAGTTTTGTATCAGTTATGAACACATTCCTGATCCTCGTCCTCGAGCTCTACTTCGAGATTCAGTTCTCCCAACTCCATCGTTCGACTAGCCACTGCTCCGCTGGATACATAACGATCCGGAATGCGTATGATCCACTCCCTTTGGCATGGCTGGAAGATATTCAGCATTGTATTTTTATGTGACCAAAAATTGCAACATTTCAGTTTACTTGTCAGTGCCCACTATAGGCACACAGATATAGCCAGACTCTGGGTGTCTCATTACTGTAGCTGACACAATCGTGTGTAATCGGGTTCAATCAACCGTATTCAAGCCATGTTGTTAAAAATAGTGTAAAAGGTGTTGCTTGTCTTGATGATGATGACAGCTGGTGGGTCTTACTTATAAATTAGATACAGTGCATAAAGAGAGCCGTCCATTTGGCGCTTTCCGAAAGAATAGTCCATGTAGGGAAGATAGGCAACGAAATGGAGCTTGATCAATAATAATTTGTTAGCACGAAACATTACCGGACAATTGATTTCAGAATTACTATATTTAGCTAATCAAACAAGGTGGGCCCACTCTGCTGAAGGCAATGAATACTGATGTGAAACACCGTCACTGACGAAAGTTGGAGAGCAAGCACTGGCTGTGACGGACAAAACGATGGAGCAAAGGATGTTTGGTGTATTCTCTACGCAACCATGTTAACAATCAGCCTCTCCGTCAGATGAGCGGGATATGTTGCGAGCCTCGCCGACAGCCGATGGACAATGCACATAAGCGATTGCTGTCGCCAAGAAAGTAATGGCCACTCGGGTGACCCCCGAAGAGGTGGCGCACATACACAGAATAGGCGGTGGGTACTACTGACTGGGGATATGCAGCCCGGGACCGAAAGTCCTGGTACAGCTGTGCCTGGCTTGTGGAATCATCCTAATAACATCACTAACAGAGGAATCCTATACTGACAGTCCGAGCAGTCTCGGCATTCTTGTTAATAAACTGGACAAGGGTGTCAAATATGAAACTCGCCCTCGTTTTCGACTCAAAAGCTTATCAATTTCACTTCATAAACTTGTAGATAAGCAAGAGGGAAGAGTGATGAGAAATTACAAACCCTGCCATAGTCGTTGCAGTCGTGATAAATGCGCACTTCTGGATCGATGGTTGACAGTTCGTACGAGTTCCCGTGCAAGTCAAACCGACCGCCACTGTCCGTATAACATGAGGCCATTACATCGTCTGGATTCGGACCTGAAGCAGCATTGCGAAAATTCAGTTTTGTAGCAGTGCGCTTGGGCTGAAAGAGTTTCTTTTTTTCATCTCTTAGGACCGATTTTCGTGTACATTTCATAGCTCTTAAAGGCAATTCGTACGTCTGAAAACAAAGCAAAACTTAGTTTATTACACGATATCGGTCCACGTTTAGCACATATGAAAAAGGTCGGCTTCCTTCATCTAACTCATCCCGCCAAAAAATGGAAGATCCGCATCAGCTTTGGTACCGTTCGTATTCTTAATCCGAATATAAATGCAGTTATTTTGGATATCAGCCGTATTTAAAGAAAAACACTTATTACTCGTTTGTTGCACCATTCTACAGATCTTTTTCCGAAGCCCCTCCTCATTAATCATCGTTTCTTGGTCTATTTTTGCACCAGAATCCTTTGTTAGTGGGTAAACATTCCCAATGTCCGGACGTGCAGCTGTTGTTCCAGTCTTTCAGCTTAGCTGGAAAACAGTCTGAGCATGCCTTCTTTTAGCTATGCGAAGGGGGCA